AGCTGGTGTAGAGAGCAGAGTGAGAGAGGGGTTGGTGAGGTCAGTTAGTTCTGGAACGTGGAACATACATAGGGCATGGTGGCTGTCATGGTTAGCTTTAATTGCCAACCTAACAAAATCTAGGATAACCTGGGGAAAGATTCTCATTGAGGGTATGTCTTCACTGTGTTGTCCTACGGGCATGTCTGTGGGGGATTATCTTGACTGCCTTAATTGATGTGGGTAGCCCCAGCCCACTGTGGGCAGAACTATTCCTTACTCCGAAGGTCCTAAGCTACATAAGTGTGTAGAAATTAAGATTTGGGCAAGCAATTAAGCAAGCATGTGTTTATTTATCTATCTCTGGTCTTGACTGCATATGTAATATGACTAGCAACTTAAAGCCCCTGCCACTGTGACCTCCCCACATAATGGACTGGAGCCTGAAATTGTAAATCAAATAAACCCCCTTTTCCCTAAGTGGCTTTTGTCTGAGTACTTTATCACAGCAACAGGAATGGAACTAGAACAGTAGCATGCCTACAATCCCAGTGTCAGGGAAATAGAGTCAGGGGGATTAGACATTCAAGGTCATCCTTAGCTACATAGCAAGCCCCAGATGGGATACACAACAACCTGCCTCAAAAAAACAACCCCCAGACGAACGAATAAAAGGAATACACAGGCCTTCTGGTTCTCATCGGTGCTGAAGGATTTGCTGATCTAGAACGTGATGGCATGTTAATGAGATAGGATTATGTGCCTTGAGAAAAGTCTGGGAAAATACTGGTGGTTACAGAGAAAACGGACAGGGGTCTATCGAAAATACCAGGCTTGATCCAGGGTGATAGTAATGATATGGGAAATTGTCACGATTTGGAAATATTTTGTAGAATCAATAGATTTTCTGATATGTTGGATGGAGAGTCATGGGTTAAAAAAGAAGCCAAAGATGGCTATAAGGTTTTTAGTTTGGATGACTTGGTTGCTATTAACTAAGATAGTGATTACTATAGATGAGGAATGCTAGGGAGGAAGATGAAGAATGTGGCCTCAGGCATGTCAAGTTGAAAGTATATGAAATGCACATACATGAAGATGGAGCAAAGGCAATTAGCTATGTTAGAAGGACTGGGTGGAGAGCACCAGATAAGATGTGAAGCCATGAGACTGAATAGATCATTAAATAATAGTATAACATTAAGAGGATAAAGGAAAGAGGAGGAAGGACTGGGTAGAAATCAAGAAGCAGCAACCACAGAAGTAACAGGAAATCCAGGATGTTGAGGGACCTTAGAAGCAGTAGTCCAAAGACAGCCTGGTTTTTCTAAGCCTTGAAGGTCATAGATGAAGGCTTTGCTTCCTAAATTTCTCTGAGCCTCTTTACACAATAGCTCTACCAAGGTATCAATGCTAGGGGAATGCTTCAATACATTTCTACTTAAGAACTGACTCAAGCTTTGTAAAACTATTGCCTGCTACTTCCTTTATGAGTGAAGTGGCACTGTGCACAGCCATACCTGTTTGTTTGTATGTTCTCAATGACAGCTTTATGTCAAGACAGCAGAGTTGGATGATGCAACAGAGCCCATATGGTCCGTGAACCCTTAATTACACAGTAGTTGAGACTTTCTAGAAAAAGACCATGAATCCCAGGACTAACTCCTTGGTATTTCATGTTATTAACTCACTTCCTTCAGGAATATTTAGGTCTTTACTCACATGAAGAAAAAAATAGTAATCTGAAGACTAGCACATGTTACTCCTGGGTTATTCAAGCTATCAAATGAAATAGTTCATCACTGTTACCCTTAGGTTACAGATGATAAAGCCAAGACAGGGAATGTGCCAGTTATTTGTCAACTTAACACACACTAGAGTCACCTGGGAAGAGAGAACCCAATTGAGGAACTGTCTCCATTAGATTGGCCCATGGTCATTTTCATCAGGAATTTTTTGGTTAATGATTGATTTATGAGGCTCTAGCCCACTGTGGACAGTGCCACCCCTAGTCAGGTGGTCCTGAGATATCTAAGAAAGCAAGCTGAGTAAACCATAGAAAGGAAACAAGTGAGCAGCATAACTCCATGGTTTCTACCTCACTTCATGTCTTGAGTTCCTGACTTGGCTTCCATCAGCAATGGACTCCACCATCCCAACAATGGTGGAAATGAATCCTCTCCTTCTCAAAGTTGTTTTTGGTCAGTGTTTTATCACAGTATCAGAGAAAGTAAATCAGAACAATGAACTCAAGCGGTATGTCTACCGTCACCCAGTCAGTTAAGAACAGGTCTGACAAGCCAGGCGGTGGTGGCACACACGTTTAACCACAGCACTTGGAAGGCAGAGGCAGGCAGATCTCTGTGAGTTCAAGCCTAGCCTGGTCTACAGAGTGGGTTCTAGGACAGGCTCCAAAGCTATACAGAGAAACCCTTGTCTGGAAAAACAAAATGAAACAGAACATGTCTAGCCTGAAATCCAGAGATTGACCTTATGGCTAAGCTTATTATATGTGTCATGTCACTTACGGTTGGAGCACTGGCTGTTAGATGACCATAGAGGATACTGATCCTTTATGAGCTCCAGAACTTACATGACACTACGCTTAGCAAATAGAAGAGTCAGAGTTGACGTTCAGTGTTACAGTTTGAGTGTGAAATGTCCCCACAGGCTCATGTGTTTGAACACTTGGTCCTCAGATGGTGGCACTGGTTTGAGAGGTTATGTGCTCTTTGGGACATGGGGCCAAGCTAGTGGACAAAGACGACTGGAAGCAGGTCTTCAAGGGTTACAGCCTGATTCCACATCTAGCCTGAGTTCTGTGCTTTTTGTTTGCTACCCCAATCTGAGCAAGCCACTGTAAGCTCCAATCGCCATGAACTGACCCTCTCCGGTCTTCTCTGCCATGATGGACTATATCCCTTGCACTGCAAGTTCATAAAATCACCTTTAAGCTGCTCCTGTCAGACATTTTGCTCACAGCAATGTTAAACAACTAAGACACTCAGATGTTGTGGGGCCTGTGCCCTTAACCACCGTGCTATACACTGAGTCTGCCAACCCACTGGACACCAGTGCTGACCCAGGCAACAGGACCTTTGGTTTTGATTTTGGGTCTCTGTGAAGAACAACTCCAAAATGGATGAACATCTGACCTTCTCACCCCTGCCTTTCTTTCCTGTCCAATATGCCATAATCAAGTTCCCAGCTTGTCTCATCACCACGCCTGAGTGGGTAGGGAGCACACTAGAGGAAACAGAGCTGGATGAGAACAAAGAGACAAGTAAGTCTTCAGTGGGGTCCTTCAAAGGCAGGGGAAGGCTCACACTCATTGTTACCAGAGAGGACGGATCGTTTTACACTAGTAGTTTAGCTTTCACATCTTTCAAAGTTCTTCCATGTTTTAAGTCCCAGGTTTAGAAATTCTGGATTTCAGGTCATGCAAGGCATATAGAAATGTTCAATGTCGCCGGGCAGTAGTGGTGCACACCTATAATCCCAGCACTCGGGAGGCAGAGGCAGGCGGATCTCTGTGAGTTCGAGGCCCGCCTGGGCTACCGAGTGAGTTCCAGGAAAGGTGTAAAACTACACAGAGAAACCCTGTCTCAAAAAAAACAAAAACAAAAACAAAAAGAAATGTTCAATGTCATACCAGGTCTTGGACCTTCCTTAAAGAAGTCAATTCCACCAAAGAATGCTATCCCCTGCCCCCATCTCCTATGGCCATAGAATTAGGCAGAGTGAGGAGTGGGGAATCACACTAAGAAAAAAAATACAAATGGGGATAGATTCCCTACCAGCTGCTCATTCCATCCCAGTTGTATCCAACCCCACAGCAAAATATTTCACCATCCCTGAGCCATGGTGGCTTCCAAAGGGCACCACAATGAATCCCTATGTTGCTGAAGCTGGCAGATCCAGAGACCCACACTGAGAGAAGATGTCATCAAGCTCCTAAGGAGGGTGGGGCTACTGTGGGCTTCTAGGACATAAAGCACAAGTACTGTGGGTGGCATAATGTGGAATTCATCTCCCTCACTCTGTGGAGTTGGGACAGGCAGAACAATCTAGACTCTGTCAGCAAGGTCCTCCAGAGAGTTCAGGCACACTAATGAAGATGAATAAGAGAGAGAGCTGTCCCTCATGGCCACGGCCTCTGTCACCCAGTGCTAAGGCATCCATATTCATGAGCTAGATGGACAGCTTCCAATATGACCCCCTACAAATAATGAGGCAGAGGTACAGCAATGCCTATCCACATTTAGGGTTCCAGGATATATTGTGGCATATAAAACTCTGGGCAGTAAGTTAAAGGACTATAGGGAACACCTCTAATTATATGATATTATCTCTGGTCTGCACTGAGGACCCCTGAACAACTTACTTAGTACTTGGCTAAGCTCTGGAACCAAATCTAACATTGCTAAGTCCTACTTAGTTTCAGCCAACATCATCCCTGTGCCCTATCTGTTCACAGACCGGCTTTCATGGAATCTTCTAGATGTTCCACAAAGTTGGGGGTACATGGGAATGCTCAGAGCACACCATGTATCATCTCATTCCACTGCACTGACTGTTTTCCAAACCTTCATCCATCTGGCTCTTCTATGATGCTCACTTACCTAGGTTTCTTTCAGCAATAAATCTCTGCAATCACACAAACCTCTTGGGACCAGGAAGGTGACTTTGATAGGTGTTTATCCTTTCTGTAGGGAAATCTGACCAAGAACTTGGGATTCTACACTTCAAGGTAGTAAATGTTGGTTTTGAGCCTATCTGCCACATGGTTTTGAAGCTAGTGGATTTGTCCTAGACCCTGAATATTTTCAACATATTTCAAATGTTCCATTCCTGTTACAACAGACCCAGCCCTAGTCCCCAGGCAGCATAACTAAAAGGCAGCACACTGAGCCAAATAAATCAAATCACCTCTCTGCAGCTGGCCTCCTGCAGGTTTCTACAGAGCCACAGGCTAGTATTTAGTTGCAAGACAAGTGTCGAGCAGAGCTCAACAGCCTTACCTGCCTTTCTGACATGATGTAGAGTTGCTCGTGGTCCTTGGAAAAGGCCATGTCCCGGAGAACTGGGCCTGGGTCCACCACCTGCACAGTCTCATACTGGAGGGCATTGCCCTTGGGCCCATCCACCCGGATCTGCAGAGAAAGGAAAAGGAAATGTGAGGTGAATGTACTAGTTACTTTCCTATTGCTGTGATAAAACACCATGACCAAGGCAGCTTATACAAGGATCCATTGATCTGGGCTCATGGTTCCAGAGAGAGATGAGTCTGTGATGACAGGGAAGCAAGACTGTAAGGGGCAGATATGGCGGCAGGAGTAGGAAACCGAGGGCTCACATCTTGACCACAAGCATGAAGCAGGGAGGACAAACCAGCAGGAGGTGAAGTATTTTACTCTCAAAGCCCACCTCCCATGGTGTACTTCCTCCAACAGAGGCATACTTCCTAAGCATCCCCCAAATAACACCACCAAACGAAGAGCAAGTTTTTAAATGCCCAAGCAAGTTTTAGATGCCCAAGACTGTTGGGGGACATCTCATTCAAACCACTACAATGGCTTTAGAGTTTGTATTGTTCACAGCCCAACTTCAGCCTAGAGACACTCCCAACAGTCAAGGGAGAGGCAAGGAGCTCTGTCGTTGCAGAACTTAGAGTCCAAGTTTTGGTTTTGCAAAGACATAAGTAATATAAGTCCACTGTGGCTTACTAATGGAAGCTCATGAAAGAAGGAGGGAACAGACCATCCTGAGCTTTAAAAAGAATTTGGTTTTGTCTCTGGTTTTCTATGCCCTAGGAACAGTTCACTGAGGCAAGGCTAGTCTTTAGAGAAGAGTACAAGGCTGGTATCCAAATGAAGGGTCTGGGTTGGGTACTGAGGCAGCTTCAGGTCAGGGGACAATCCCACATAAGAAAGACAAGAAGAAAGGCTAACATTTGTTAGCAGAAGTATTTTTGATATATGGATGAGGGTATAGTCACTGAAACTTCTACCCAGGTATCACTGCTCTGCTTTGGAAGAGACTTGGAGAGTCAATCCCAGAAGCTCCACATCTCTGATCTCCTTTGGTCCATAGAAACTAGTAGCTTACACTTCAGGTTTTAAAAGTAGATGTTGGGTCCTGTAACAGCTCATTGTGAGGTTCTGTTCATGATCTCAGGGAAGGAAAGTGTGCCTCAGGCATGAGCCATCCTCAATCTTTCAAGAATACTTAGAAGATTGCATGATCCCTGGGCCATCTCCAAGTCCTTCCTAGAAATGTTTAGACAATGTGGAAACCACCAGAAGAGATGTCCCCCTCTATATACACCCCACCACTGAGAACAGACCTAGAAAAGACTTTGGCTTCCCAACCCAACACAGTGCTCATCTGGCCTCTGGCCCATGTTTCTAGAGTCAACTGAAATGTACGCACACTGATCCAGCAGGCCTCCTGCCCCATGAGAATAGCACCATCTATGTAAGTTGGGACAAGGACTACTGAGGATGTGGCTAAGTGTTAGTTAGTGGATCTGAGGACTTGAAGATATGCTGCTAATACAATGCTCTGCAAGGCATCTCTGGGGGGATTTTAGTGATTCCAGTAACAAAACTAAACAACACATTGCATTCCAAGTGCTACCACTATGTAGTCATTTTAATTTTTTACCTTGTAATTTTCACCCTCTTATGAGATCAAGGAAAACAAAAGAGTTATTCAGAGGAACTAACTGATAGACAGGGACACCACAACTGGTGGCAGCTGATGCGTTGGGTCACCAGAATGCTTTGTTTCTACCACGTTCACTGAACTCAGATACTAGTTGATTTTATGGTTTTGTGTTTGATTGCTTGACCACTATTTATTTTCAAATGAATAAATAAATGAGATTGAGACTCCTCTGATTTGCTGATTTCCATTATGCTCACCAGAAAAACAACAACAGGAAAACCAGCCTGAAGAGAGATGCACACTCTCCCCCTCCCTGCCCCCTGCCCCCCCCCCCCCCATTTCTGCACCCACTGCTGAGACATCAGTGTGCACATTGGCCAGGCACTTTCTCAACTAAAATGAAACAGAAATCTATGCAAAACCAGTCTGGCAGTGAAGTGATGGTTGTGGCCAGTGGCCTAACCAGGCTTCATCCCCAGCTGGGAAGAGCCCTGGAGTGGGAACAGAGAATGATGCTGAGCACCCTGGCTGAGTACCTCTTTTGGGCCCCTGACAGAAACGGTCTCCCATAGGGACCATCCCATGCCCTTGGTCTGATCCCCATTAGAAGTTAGATTCAGTGCCTCAGGAGTGTTCCTCATCACCTGCCTCTAACTTCCCTGCTCCTTAGGATAGGGTGATATGCTAGATGTAATAGACATCATGTGAAATAAGCAAGGATCCTATAGACACAATGGGACAAACTTTCACAGGCCTGGCCTTTTATGTTCCCTACCCTCCATATTCTGCCAGAGTAGAAGAATAACTGGGAAAGTCTCTCTCCTCCTTCTCCTCTCCCCTACTGCAATCCAGATTACAGTTTTATATACTGCAGAAAGAAGAGAACTCATGTATCTATTTCCTGAGAGAACTGAACACAAGACATGAGCAAAATTTTGTTGTAAAATGGGTTATTTGGTGAATAGTCCTAAAATTTAGGCAGAATGGACTAGCTTTCAATTCTCTATACTCTACCTAAACAAATAGGAATTACTTTTCATGGAATAGACAATGTCTGACATTTACATCTCATAAATCTGTCACCAATATTACTACTGCCCATGTTTGCAGATGATGCATGGAGGATAAATAACATGGCCAAGGTTACATATCTAGGGAACATGGACATGGAGTCACACCTAGACCTGATTAACTTCATTGTCCAGGCTTCTGTAAGTTTTCACACTATACCGAACCCTTACACTGGACCTCAAACCCTAACCCTTAACTAAGTCCTATTGCCAATATCAATCAATTTGCATTCTGTCTAGGGGTCTGTGTTGTGCAAATGTTACCCTGGCAGTGATGAAAGAATCATGTCTTTATCTACCGCAGCTCTTTTGGGGAGGAACTTGCATATGAATAAAGAAATTTCAAAATAATGAGCCCTTATATTTTTGTTTTAGACCTTGCAAAGTATTCTTAAGTAACACTCTCCCGTCTGATGGTTGTAAAATTTTTATGATGTTGACTGTCAGCATAATCATTCTCATTTTATTGATGAAGCAACTGAAATGGGGATTGATCTGAAGCTTGCCCAAAGTTCAGTGGAAAACAATGTCAGGCTAGACTAGAACCCAGGCCTCTCCCAACTTCTGGATCAGTATTTGCCTCTTAGCTACTTAGTTTTTCCAAAAGCCTTTGACAAAGCTCCACATGAAAAGGTATTTTAAAATAATGAGTCTCCATGGAATCTCAGGCAGTTTGACCAAAGAAATAGAACTGAGTTAGAGACAGGAAAAGACATATTTCTGCATGGAGAAATAGAAGGAAGAACTCCCTACGCACTAGTCCTGCCACTAGTCATATATATATATATATATGATCCAGAGAAGGGAGCTGGAAACTTCAAGGATGATTCGAAACTTTGGGGACTAACAAAAAAACTCAACAATGGGGACAGAACTATAGAAAGAAGCTGTTTTCTGTGGGCTCACAGTGAGGGAGGAGCTATTATGGGGAAGACAGCCCTGCAGGTGTGAGACTCAAGGGCAGAAGTCACCTCTGTTGCGTTCCTCATAGACTGTAGGATGTGGTTGGTATTCTATGATTCATTATTGAGCAAATGAAAACCACACTCTACCAATTCAACAATGGACTCTAAGTTGCTAGACATGATCAAGGTAAGAGGCATCATAACCAAGAAAGGGGAGCCCAGTATGACATTTTCTACTTTCAGTACCCCAGGGCACTCAGCAAAATCTTAGGCAGCATTTCACTGGGATATCACAGGGCCATCTTCCTGACCAAGTCTACCTGAACACAAACATGGGCTATCTCGTTCAGTCCACTCTTTAGAAGGCAGAAAGACATTTCAAGTGTTTGGAGCTCATGAGCAGCTCAGGGACAACAGCTCAAACCATGACAAGGAAGTGAATGTTGAGGCAGGAGACTGTCGGCCAGTGGCTGCACTTCAGTCCTAGCATAAAGGCTACCCCAAAACTTTTGAAGTGTCAGCATAAACAAACAAGGTTTGTTACTTTATACAATACAGATGATGGAAAGGATTAACAAAGAAGTCTGTTGTGTTTAGAAGTATACCATGTAGGGAGACCAGCTGTGTGAGGGTCATACACGCAAAGTTGGATGTTGGAGGATATTAATCTCTGAGGCAAACACCAAAGAGGAAATGATGCCCCATTCTGTGAGTTCCCTCTTGTAGTGATGTGCTCATTCATTCTGTGTCCTACATTTGCGGAATGACTTTCTAGACTGAGCTAGCATCTGCAGAGGAAAAGTGGTCCCAACTTGACCTTCCAGGAGGCTGGCTCCTGAATGGTTCAGTCTTTATACCAATGAAGTTCGTGAGCACGGAGGTGTTCAAACGCTGCTACTGGTTCTTTCTGGTGAGTCTGAACAATTGTTGGGGTATAACCAGGGATGGGAAGCACAGTCCCAAGTGATAGTAAGTAGTGCATAGCTCACAGGCCACATGGCAAAGGGCTTTCAATACAGCACATCTGACCATGAGACTTTGGCTAAAATCACATAGCAGGTAACCTCAGAGGCTCCATGGGTTACTCTTAGGTCATTAAAAAGACTGAACCAAAGGAGCAAAATTGATAATGGCTTCATAAAATTACAAGAGCCTGGCAGGAAGGTAAAACTAACTATCTGGAAAGGGTATCAGAGGGGGATCCGTGTAGGCATTTTTCTTCAACATTGTCGTGAGGATGGAATGAATGGGGTGGATCTAAAGTGATTCCTGTCTGTTTCCCATGGCAGAGAAAGGTGCTCTTCCAGGACCCATCTGAGCCCTGGAATGTTCTGGACCAACATTAAACAACAGAAATATGTAAACTACTAATGTAGGCCATTTATGACACTAAAAATTTCTAGTAGTGGTCGCATATTTTAAAAAAGTTAGTAAACTTAATGATTGTACCATTTTATCTAACTCAGGATGTTCCAAATATGATTACATTAACATATATTTAAGTGAAAA